GGCGTTCTATTCAGGTGAAGACGGTAGTGAGACAGCCACAGCAGCTGAGGCCTTGAGATGCACTGAGGATGTGCACTTGGGAATCACAGAATCTCATGCAGAAGTCAACACTGGAGTGGACTAGGATGAACTGCTCAAGATATGCTGCATTTAGTAATGGCAGAGGAAGGACCCACTGGTGCGCATTTCCGTTTAGGAAAGCACGAAGCTGGTCACTATTACAGCCAGGTTCATGCCCTCTAATCACAAACATAGCACCAATGCGGCCTGCCCCTCCCGCTAGTTCGTGACACCAATCCCAACTCTGAATTTTAAACCACCACTACCCCCAAACCTCTCCTCTCTGACCTGCCCATGGCCTCTACCAGGCTTTCTTTTTTTTCTTTTTTTAATTATTGTATTATTATTATTATTATTATTATTATTATTATTATTATTACACCAGTACCAAGCTAACTCAGGGTTCATGGGGGAATCCAACAGCAGTGCAAATCATTCTGAAAACGGACCCATGCCTGGCCTCTAGCAGGCATCTACCACCCCCCTCTATACCAGACCTCTACTAGACCGCTACCAGACCTCTGCTGAACCTGTACCAAGTAGTACCAACCAGTGAGGAATTTGGAAGCCATTGGGGTACTGGTTGTTTAAACCACCAGTACTTGTCCCAGACATTTTTCTCTGACACAGTTGTGCAGACACCGCGACTTTGGGGCAAACAGTCTACCAGACCTAAATGACTGGCGGCGCCAGCCAAAAGAGATAATGCGCTGCTTCGTTTTTTTTTGGTGCGCAGGCGGGAATTCGCTCCAGCGAAAGGACGCCTCTAAGTACAGGTGGGTGATCTAAGCCTCCCATGGGCGGGATCAAATGCCAAGATGTCACAAGATGAAAGCACTACATGACACGGACGCCAGCCATCATGTCATACTGGGTCAGGGAGAATATCAGCTGCAGAAAAAACTCCCAAAATAGTCAACAAAAGCATTCCGTAACGATTGCCAATGCTTCGCATCCATACAGATTAGGGCCACGTCCCGCGGGTGTGAGGTCTGTGCGCAGAAACAACGAGCATGGTAGTAATAACAACGGCTAGGTTCAAGCTAGATTACCTCGAACATAGCACCATTGCAGCCCCACTCTACACTAACAAAGGTATTGTGTGCGTGCGAAATTCAAACCCCACCAAGGGCATCCGCAGTTCAACTGTAATGTTTTAATTTCTTTTCTTTTTTCCCCTCCAACTTCAGTCTCTCAGAGTACATACGTTAAGAGGTTTCCGGGGGGCGCGTGGTCCCACTAGCAGGTGAATAGAACCGAAGTAGAACTAAAAGGGGACGATAATTTTTTCGGAATAACGGAAATGTGGAAGCCAGAACTGAAAAAGGTACAGCCCCGAAGTGAGGATGGTGAAGGAGCACAGACCTGGACATGATTCGGGTGCTTCGGGACCGGGATGACAGGATAGCGTTCCGCTCGGATACCCCACTCTCGGACCTGCTCTTCGACCCGGAGGAGTCGCAGTGGACCTCCACACACAGGTCAAGGACGGGCACAAATACAAAACTGGCCAACCTGGCGGTGAAAACTGCCTACAGACTTTTCAGGCCAAAGGTGAACCTTAAACCACCAGTACTTCCTAAAGTCGTGCCCATTGACAAGCCACGATTTTAAAAAACGTACGGGCCACTACAGGACCGCCCAAATTCATCCAACTAGAAAAGTTTCTACTCTATTTTTTCCCGCGGCCGATAGCTGGACCACGTACCGGTGGTTTAAGGACACAGTGACGGCCCGGTGGATGTCCTACCTGAACGCGAGGAACGATGCTGTTCGCCCCATCCGCTGGTTCACAGTAACCAGGGCCAAACCTGCAAAATTCGCGTCACTGCAATGGCAGATAGAACACCACTGCCTGCTCACAAACGACTGCCTAATTGATCGCACATATTTACTATTTAGAGCAGAAGGGCCTGGCACTGACCCCTGATGAGGCCGGGACGAGGACCGGCCGAAACATGTTGGGTCGCACGCCGAAGGTAGCCATAGTCACTACTTTCATTTTTCGACATGGTTACTGTCGCGTCTGGGTGATTTCATATAATACTTTTTGCAGACTGTATCGTGCGTTTGGTGTCTTCCTCCCTCTTCTTACCTCCCTCTTCTTCTTCTTCTTCTTCTTCTTCTTCTTCTTCTTCTTCTTCTTCTTCTTCCTCCTCCTCTGTGTTGATTGATGACTTCATGTGAATTTCGTATGAGGAATGCATCAGCATTAACACTCGTGGTGCAAGTCATGCCAGACCGCCTTCCCCTCCCGCAGAATCCCAAAACTATAGAGCATATATTATTTCTGCAATGCACCAGGGAAGGTCCTCACATGGCGTTGGTGGGCCATGGGATTGCAGGGTGCTCCTACGTGAAGCCTGGGCCTCCCCTGCGAGCAGCACCTTTGAGGAGAATATTTTCAGCATCAGAAGGAGGGCAGTCATTTGGGCCCTCTGGCGTAAACAGTGCATCCATGCAATTGAGGGCGTCCGCATAGTGGGGGAGGAAATCACAGAAATAATAAAACAATAGATTCAGCAGGACCTTATGGAACAATGGCTGAAACTCAAAACTCGGCTGGACCGCGTTTCGCACAAAAAAGGATGGAGCACAAAAAGTTAAACAATTTTCAGAGGAATGGCTAGGGAATGAGCAAGGGGGCTGGATGGCCTACTACATCCAATGGGAGGAAGGCTACAAACGCGGAGCACAGCCAAGAGGAGTTCATGAGGAGCTACAATATCTGCCTCAAGGATTGGACCAAGGTGGATGCAGCAATCCCGCTACCTCTCCCCTCGGAGTTCCCGGACCCCTGTCCACCCCACCAACTCTCCATGTTGTGCAGTGGTATGGAGTTGACGGAGCGAGGCCCACAGCTTGAAACAATGCAGATCATATGGCGGCCGGAAGGCTGAAGAGGCTGTTGAGCGCACGCTATCTGCATGGCTGGAAGAACGCTTGTTGCATAATTCTGTTGGCAGCTAAGCTCCTCTTATACTATCCTTGGTCTATCTAGCCCAAGCCAGGTAATGGCCCTGGTGACGGTCTCAGATGGGCTCACAATGGATGTCTAAGGGACACTGGATCCGGTTTCCAGCAGGCGCTGCTCCCCACCAATAGACAGGAGCTACCCGTGACAGGTGCTGCTAGAAGAGGATGCTCATATCACCCACCCCCTCTAGCACACCGGCGTGGGGTTCTGGAAAAAAAAAAAAAAAAAAAAGAAACAGCCAAAACTAAAAAAACAAAATATGGCGATGACCCTGAAGCAATGGACAGGCTCTGACACACAACTGACAAAAGCACTTCCACCATCAACACACCATGCATTTGCCATTTTTGCACTATGGAAAAGCGCTTAAACCACCAGTTGTCCGCTTAACCATTGAAAAATTGCCCGCCGATTAAACCACCAGCACCTCCAAAAGCCGTGGCGGTTAACAAGCTGCGACAATGATGGATGAACGGGCCACTACAGAAGTGCCCAAATTCATCCGGCTAGAAACGCTTCTACTCTACTTTTTCACGTGCGCGATATATGAGAAAGGTACTGGTGGTTAATGGGGCAGTGGAGGCTCAGAGTGCCTGTCACAAAAAGGTCGGCAGTGCCAGGCAAATCGGGCACCTCAGCAGTTCGGGTTATAGATACTCAAAAAAAGAAGTAATATACTGATTAGGCACAAATCCAAAATGCTCCCAAGGACCCAAACTAATTCAATTACGACCTCCCATCCATGAGGAGAATGAAATCCAATACATAAATCAGCTAGGCTACCAGCCGGGCCGCCCGGGTCACCCTATTTTCCCGGACGCCCCGGCCATGCAAGGACCAGGGAAGGTCCTAGCAAATAAATAAATAAATAAAATCCGAAAAAAAACTATGTTATGCAGAAAAATAAACTGAACAACTTTTGCCTCAGGGTTACATCGGAATTCCTTACCAAATTCAAAATAAAAAATAAAGTCAAAAAATAGTTTGTTTTTTTTTTTTTTGACCCGGCCGGGCAAGTGGCCCCGGGCCACTCTGGTAGCCTAGTAAATTAGTTAATAAAAGTAATAAAAAAAAAAAAAAAAGCTTGGGTGAAAATCAGCATTGCGAACAAGAGGCTTGGAACAACTGGTGGTTTCAACCACAGAATCGAGTTTGGTGTCTCCCAAAAACACCGTTGAGGTACAACATGTGCAGTTTGGGGGGAACTTCTCAGTGCATCCACCTCACGAGCATCACCACCACTCCCCCTGACGTCAAAAACCTCGGGGGACTGGTAGCGCCGGTTCACGAGGGGTACTGGGAGCATAGAATGAAAAACCGGGTGAATGGCAAAAATGGTATTCGCATCAAAAATTGGAAATGCGCCAAATCAGCGCGGCGATTATTTCACGGTCAAAATGATTTTATTTGTTTTTTCTGATAGTTTTCCTTGAAAGATCACGACCTAATCTACGGACCCTCAAATTTTCAGAATTTTTGAAGAATTCTTCTAAGCACGAAAAATCGCCAAAGTTGCGGCTTTCAAATGACGGGATTGGACCCGCCGTAGACGAACGGTTGCCGCCCCTCCGTAGAACCCGGCCCTAACTCACAGGGCCGAGGGTTTTCGGCCGTCGGGGGGAGTGGCGGTTCAAGGCATTTTGTTTTCTTTTCCGAGAAGGTCTACTTTTTCTTTCCATTCTCTGTAAGCAACAAGGAATTCGACCACATCCCTTCTTTTCTGGTTTTACAAAGATCTCCCATGCCACACAAGCTTCTAACGGCAAAAGACCGTCTTTGACACCACATATACCCTACTCCAATCCTATCCAGCTCATAATGAAACCACTCCCAGCGTGTAAGAATTTTACTGTCTTCACAGATACTGCTAAAAACATCAAAAGGCTTCAAACCCAGGGCCTCAAATCCAAGAGTAAGTGATGTCACATCATTGCAACAAAGTGATCAGCAGGTTCTCACCAACCTGTATGGTATATTTATCAGAAAATCAACACGATCGTGTATCCCCAGCTTTCTTGCTTGTGCCCGCAGTTTGGATATCCTTTCTTCATCCTCTGCATGCCTGCTACTGCCAATTAACTGCAGCCGCACATTTGGTACTCCATCAACGTCCTCGTGAGGCGACCTGGCAGGCAATACATAATAGAACATCATAAGCAGATGCAAATGCGCACTCACACACACACGCACTCGGAGATGTTTTTTTTTGGGGTCTGTATAGTGAACATGACAACACACATAGTCCACACACACACGCACACACACACGCACACACACACACACACACAGACACATACACACACGCACACACACACCAAAAAAAAAAAAACAGACACATAACACACGCGTGCACACACACACACACACACACACACACACACACACACACACACACACACACATTGAGCGGCTAGGATCCAGCTCGTACTAGCGAGCTATTCTCTCTTTTTGTGGTTGGATATCTCTTGTTGGTTTTGTTGATTACACACAGCCTAATTCTTTGCCCTGCTTTGAAGCATTGGCTGTTTGGATGTTTACAGGTGGCCACGAGTTCTCTTTGGGGGGAATGTATGTTTTGTGGGCCGGCGTGGAGGGCTTTCCCAGGATTTTTGGACCCTTAGCAGGGGGGGTCGGTGCGTTGTTGCTGGAGTCTTCTGTCTTAGGTAAGTTGTCTCTTATCTTGTTCCTCCTCTTTGGCAGTGACGCGAGTGTGTAGTTTGAGATGAATGTCAGGAATGCCTTTGTTTTTGGTAAACGAGTTTTTGGTTTTGTGGGCCGATGCGGAAGGCTCTCCAAGTTTTTTCGGACCTTTGAGGGGGTTGGGTCGGTGCCTTCTTGCTGGAGTAGTCTTCCGTCTTAGGTAGGTTGCCTTCTGCCCTCCGTCCCCTTATGGTTTGAAATATATAAGTACACATATGTATATGTGCAAGTGTGCCTTCGGCGGCAGACGGGTGTGCGGGCACTTGGCGCTGAACCACACAAACGTGGCCAACCTTGCATTTTCTATTATATTGCCTATCTAAACTTTTTCGTTATGGATGGCTTATGATGATTTGTTAAGGGAATGAGAGAGAGAAGCTGGGGTCTTTTACACACACACACACACACACACACACACACACACACACACACACACACACAC